ACAAGAAACTAGGGCGAAATGATAGAGGTCACGCCCGGAGTAAGAATAAACGCGAATTTTCTAGAATTCAGTAACAGGGAGCTGCTTGCTCGACCCTGTGCGCGGCATTATTTCCCCCTTTAAGAGTGTATCGTTCGGATGCAACGCGAAAAGAAAACAAAAATTGGTAATAAAAATGCATTGAGACAAGATAAGCATGCACCGTCACGGTCCTAACGCGCGTACAACAGCTTGAGTCGAATTACGGGGAGCACTTCGGGTTGTGGCTGGGGACGCCTGAAGGTCGGGTTCTGTCGGGGAGCAGCTCGTAGGTCGTCAAGTCCCCAAAGTGGCGAATGACCTTGTAGAGTCCAAAGTAGCGTTTTAACAGTTTCTCGCTGAGGCCGCGGTGGAGAGTGGGCGTCCACGCCCACCCCCTGCCTCCGAGCTAGAACTCCACGTTGTTCTGGCGAGTGTTGACATGGTGGTTTTTTATCCGAAAGCGGTTTAGATGGCGGATATTTTCTGCCCGTTGGGTGACCAGCTGGGCGTCGTCAGTGCCGCCGTCCGTCGGGTTGTGGGGCAGCATTGCGTCGAGCATCGTCGTCACCTTGTCACCTCTCTGCCGTGCACCAGCTGAAAAGGTGTAATCCCAGTGGTTTCTTGAACCATCGTGTTGTACGCAAACGTGACGTGGAGTAACACCTCATCCCACGTTTTGTGTTCCACGTTCACGTACATCAAGATCATGTCGGCAATGGTCTTGTTTAGTCACTCCGTCAGCCCCTTGGTCTCCGGGTGATATGCCGTGGTTTGACGGGGATCAGTGTAATTCAGGCGGAGTCTCTCTTGTGTCAGCTGTGCCACGAACGAGGAGCCTCGGTCCGTAATCAGGACTTGTGGAGCACCGTGTCGGAGGACAATAGACTCAACGAAGAACTTGGCTGCTTCCACAACGGTTCGCCAAGGCAGTGCTTTTGCCTCGGCGTACCGGGTGAGATAATCATCAGTTGCCACGATTACCTAACGGTTTCCCTGCGTCGACGGCGGGAACGGTCAAAGCAGATTCATTCTAATCTGCCGGAACGGTGCATCCGGGGGCGCTATCGCCCCCGAATGCCGACAAAACCGCCGACGAAGCCGCCGGCTTCGTCGGCGGTTTCTTCCGTCGCAGGAACTCCTGGTAACTGATGATTACCTCACCCGGCACGCCAAGACTGTCGCTGCACTTCACTCTTTGCTGGCTGTTCTGTATTAAATTTTAAAAAAAAATCACACGAGAAATACTTGAAGATCAAGAAATAGGTTGACTGGAGCTGCAGTGTGTCAGTGCACCCTCTGTATTTTTGTCTCATAAAAAATTGCTTTTCCTCAACCAAGGATGACTAGTCTTAGTAGTGCGATGAGCGATGTCACAATTTTATCATTTTAGCAATGTGCATCTGTATATGTTTTTAACTCTCTTTTGCTGGAACCGGTATATAGAGTAACAATGAAAAAGACCGACGTACACCTAAGCACTTCTTATGAGTTGTGAATGCGAAAGCATGCAAGCCGCTGGTCCGCTGCGTACTTTTCGTCGCCGGTCAGCCCGTGTGGTCCCCCGGGCACGGTGACCGTGGACGCTGCGTGTTAACGGCGCGCTGATGGACATGCAGCGCCGTGGGGTGAGTGGTCGTGGAAACTGACGAGCGCAGCGGCCAGTGGCAGCCCCGTCGACACGAGCCAGCCAGTTGAACCGAGGGAAACTAGGTGCCATTTTCGTGCTTCAAACTGATGACGTCGGCTCACTCTATGAGACAGTTAATGATTTCTCATTACTAAATTTCAGTTGTAACTAGTGCTGCGTTTGCTTCTTCCAGTCTGTCTGTTGTTCTGTTGCGCTTTTTAACCATTATGAATCACCAACTCGCTCAACACTACACAATCGTGGTACGATCGTGTGTAGAGGTAGACTGTCTTCGGAGCTTGGGCCAGTAGTTCTTCTCTCTGATCCTTGCAAGAGTCCCCCTGTTCAGCAGCTGCAACGGAGTACACAATAAACAATTAGGAGCCATTCCACTTTGTGAAGGTGGATGACCATCGAAGCCGTTTGGCACACGACACAGACATGAGAAAAAAGTTTTGAACAAAGGTACAAACACATTTATTGTCTTGATCGGTGGTCATCGTGACGAAAGCTACGCACTCACAGGTGCCGCCCGCCACCGCCGCTGACATTCTCGTTGCCGCTCCCGCCGTTGCTCTTCGTAGGCCCGTTGCTCTTCGGGAGTCCGGACTATACGCGGCCTCCCCATTACAACGAGAGAAGTGCACATGAAAATTGCTAAACTATCCAAGCTTCAAGGAGAATACAGGGATTGGTGTTCCACGCGCCGCACGCGCAAAGCCTTCCCCGTGTAAAAGATTCGAAGATGTATGGCGTAACCAAAAACCTAAGCGTTAATAAGCAGCGAGGGTCACGGGGACCGTGGGAGCCGGTTAAAATAAAAACAAATTTATTGTTCAATCACGTATACTTTACATACGACTGATCTGGTTCCTCCCAGGCAGTTCCAGGCTACAAAGCCGAACACCAGCGTCGAACGCACAATAGAGGTGTAAAGCCTGACGATACATGACGGTTCTTTCAAGCGAAAGCTGTGAACCGCTTTGGAACTGTCGCCGATGAAAGCTGAACATTTCGCAACGCCAGCTGGAAGGCAAAGATAGAGTTTGCGACCAGACGAATCATTCCGTGTCGAAATGACTTGCGATCAACACAATGCAAGCGGGAAACCATAAAGATAAAACATAAAAAGCAGTCTGAAGTGTTGACAAAGGAGAAAAAAAAAGTCTTTGTAGACAGCCCGCTTGTAGCATTTTATGTTTGTTTGGTTTTAAAGTCGCCCCAAGAAATATTCGATATGCGTCGTGAAAAGAACGATTGGTATCGAAACATTTTTTCTGGCAGCCGAGAAGACAAAAAGTGTGTTCCTTATGTAACAAGTGCGCTCTACGCTAAGAAAAATAAAGAGAGCTTGCGCCGAATATCCATTTTGGGTGGGTGCATGCAACAAAAAAAGAAGTATTACATTTAGTGTCAATACCCGGCGATATGTGGTTAAGTTTTTTCTTTCTCCCACATGATTGTATAGCCTTTAAAAAGGTGGCTGTCAATTCATTCACTCGTGGAGCAAGGCTGCGAGAAGGCTGGATCGACTGCAAATGAGGGTGAGAAACACCAACTTTATCCGCATGCGTTAAAAAAAAAACTCCATCCAGCAAGATTTGTGCTCGTAATCACCGCCCAAATCGTAGTAAAAAAAAGTTCGCCTTCTCTCGGAGCATTACTGATTTACTCCTGTAGGTGCTGAATTAAGATATATGTGGCTGTATTTTAGGCTTGCTCGAATTTATCTTAAGAAAACGTACACGTTGGAAACGCCAAAGGCATAGATACTTTCTCCGACAACCACATTTTGTAAAAACTACTCCGTTCGGCGCGTGGATAATGCGCAAAACTTTTTTTTTGTTCATGTGGCAACAAGCATGGTCGTACTGTCGTTTTTTTCCAGCTCGCAACAGGAGATTGGGTCCTACATGACTGATGTCATATTCTGGTTAACTTATTGTCGTCGAAAGCATAAGAAAATTCAGGGTATGACCTTAGTATGTTCCCGCCTATTGCTTCGAGATTGGTTCTACGTCGTCCTTATCGGATAATGCTGCTATCTAATTGGCTGCGGAGTGATACCAACATGATCGGGATTCGCCGCACCCTGCGTTTTTAAGCCGTCAGCGACTACGCGGAGAGCAAGGCTGGGCAGTATCGCGATACAAACGTATCGCGATAGTGTTTTAAAGATACTTTTAAGTATCTGTATCTCCGTATCGGGATACATTTGAAAAATGTATTTCTATCTCAGTAGTGAAATACATTTACAATGTATCGCTTGCATCGCGATACTCTGTCATAGTTAGTCATCTCGTTTCCTTTGTTACCCTTTTCAAGATCAGTTTAAAAAATAAAAACATTGGTATATGATGCAAATTGCTTCGGAATCTATATGAACCCCCCCCCCCCCCTATAACAAGATCTATCTCAGCCAGCAACATCAGAAAAAACTGGTTTAAAGAAGGTTACGTGCAAGAATAACAAGATCAGCTCCTCTCACAAAGCCTTCAACTATTTCCAATTTAGAAGAGCGAACGCTGCAAACGAGTTTAATAGAGAAAAGAAATGGCTCAGTTGTTCAATTTTTTCACACTATGGGTGACACAGAAGCATATAAAACAACAGTTTCTGATGCGCCCTCTCTGCAAAACAGGGTTCATTTCGGGCAGACGCCGTTTGTCAATCATGGTATGCAGCCTTTATTGTTCCGTAACTATGTGGTTCAACGGAGGTGACATGTCTTTTTAGCGGCATAGATATGATAAATCAGAAGTTCCAGGTAAGCGATAGTGCATAAAATGGCACCAGAAAGAGAAGCACAAACATAAATTATCATTCGCTTTCGCCATGAACTACACCTTCCCTACGTAGCACCGTTCGGGAACAAATGTATTTCTAGAAGTATCTGTATCTGTACTCCGAAATACTTTTTCGCCATTTTCGCCGAAGTATCTCAGGGATATCCCGTTGCATAAAAGACAAATGTATCTCAGTATCTGTATTTGGGCCTTAAAACACATGTATCTCAGTATTTGTATTCTGGAATACTTTTTGGAGTATCTCTGCCCAGCCCTGGTGGAGAACAAGTCGTCTGCTTCTAGCACAGCAGTTGCGTTGGCGTCAAAACGACGCTGTGTTCTGATTGGCTTTGATTAGAAGGGTAGTGGATAGAATTCAATGCTAGAAGCCTCGAAGTCTACCCACTTTTTTGTTTTCCTTTTTAGATCAGCCATTAAGAGTTTGGCGTCTGAAACCATTGCTACCCTTGAACTTGCGCTTCGCATCGAACAGCACACTGTTTCTTTTCTTAGCATTTGGCTTGTGTTCTGACGGCACGTTTTGTTTTCGTCCGCGGTCGCTCTAGGGACAAACGATGAGGTTGCGTTTGCTAGCGTGCGTATGGGTCGCACTGCTGTGCTCTTACGCCGTTCGCCAGGCGGATTCAAAACCATTGCAGCCTGTTCCAGTCGACGAACGGGACGCGGAAGGCGACGCAAATGGCTCGGAGACTAAAGAGTGAGTGTAATTTAATGAGATACATATTGTAGCGGAAGTGGTGAGGAGGTTTTTTTGCGAGCAATCTTCGTACTAAAGCATGAGTTGGCGATGAGGCGAATGGAGAAACCTCCAACGCATGCAGTCAGCCCAAATTGAACCTGTTTAGTTCCGCAGAGCGAGAACGGCAGGACGTATTTTTCAAACGCCAGACCTTAAGCACGCGCTCGCTGCCTTTCGTCGTGCTTTGGGCTGTGCGTGCACATTCGAGGTTCGCAAGACGCCGAAGCGACATCGAAGGTAGGAAGAGCGCGTGTGGAACGACACAATGGAAACTCCTCCCTGCTATTCTTATCCTGTCAATGACTGGTAAGTGTCGCACCCAGCAACCACTGTAAAGCCGCCGTTATATTGATTATACATCATACAAAATACACAATGCTTTCCGAAGATATGATGATGAAGTTATGTGAAGACACGCCTCACGATTGTTGAAAGGGCATTCACACGTTCGTCACTGGCGGGGAAAATTTCGCTAGACGAACCCGAGTTCCAGCAATGTACCAGAGCATTGATTCTCGTTTATGTTGATTATGAAGATGTAGTGACGGTCATACGACCCACAAATTTTTCTTTAAGAGCCCAGAATATTTTAATAAAATGCAGAATTACGATTATTTTGACTGTTTTGAGCGTATTTTGAGGGAAGTTTGAAATTCAAATTGCTTAAAATTAAGATAAATCTGACAAAATATTTAGTAGTACGTACAAGAGACGTCCCCTACCTTGATTTTAAGACCTTGACGGAAAGACTAAATGCCTTGGTATTTGCGTATTTGTGTAAATAATTCTGACAGGGCAGTGTGAGAGCTCAGGTCATGCTCCGTTTTGTCCTTCATCTGCAGCGTGTCCTAAATTTTTTTTTTTTTTCGCAAGACTAAATTGCGTTTCGTCAAATGCTTATTCTTTCCCCAAATGTATGCGCAACGGTCCTACCCAGATGCCAAAGTTTAAGTTGCACTTATCTGAACCGAAAGTTCCTTTTCTGAAAATTTCAATGTGAAAATGGAACTCGGTTTTGCCCATTTTCGGTAGGTGGCGCCACTCGACTCCATGTATTCGAGTCCTCCCTCCGACAGCCATCTTCCAATTAAAACTTTCAGAAAATCACTTATAATTGCTTGAATAGGATAAGGCTTAGTTCTGAAACATCTACACTTGTGCGGAAAAGCGTTCAGCGACGCGTAATTTATTTTCGCGCCAAAAAAGAATATTTCTAAATTGTTTGGAACGCCCGGTGTTTGCGTCGAAAGGCCCTGTCTTTTGCATTTGTTGCATGAACCAGGGCGGTCGTTAATGGTGTTCCCGTGACAACCGTGAATCTGGTCATCCTACTCAGCTCTGATTCTACTGCGTCGGGTCGCAGTTCGAAAAGTGAGGAGACGTAAAGGGAATCGGCGCACACCAGCTCGGAGCACGTGGAGCGAAAGCACGTGGAGCGAAAGCTCGCGCTGCAGGACCCAGGGATCTTGGGTTCGAACCCCACCCCTGCCCGTTTCGACATGGACGAGCATCGTACCGGCGTGCCGTCGTGTTACGGCACTGCGGGGTGCACGTCAAAGACTCCAGGCTAGCGGTTTGTACCGCACTGGCTAAATTGTTCATCTACAGCTGAGACACCAGACCATTGGGGCTGACTAACTTCCGGCAGAACAAACAAACACGCGTCTCAATTTTTTTTTTTTTTTTTTTTTTTGTACAGCACTGATTATTTAGTCCCATGTTCCAGAGGCTAAAAACCAACCCTCGCAGGGTAAACAAAATAAACGTTTTTCGTCTAAGCTTCGTAAAACTATTAAGCTGTGATCATGATCCTTCTCTTGTTTCTCTTTGAACTCTCCTTGTTCTCCACCCAGTTTCAGGTGTTTTAAGAATGAAGTGATAGCAAGAAAACCATAGATTTTCGGAACATGTAACACGGTAAAAAGAAGCACTCTGAACTAACTCACGCACGACCTCCGCGTCTAAGCCTCTTCGCGCATTTCATTTGTGGTTGCGTACATTTTGTCAGCGGGCAATCATAAACTTCACAGGGTCGAGGGTGCGTCAGTTGCTCGCTGGTATGAATGAGGTTATGCGAAGGTCTATATACACTGAGATGCCCCGAGACAACCACGACTTTAATTTTAGCTTGAAGCCGCACTCAAACTAGTTGAATATCATGCAAAAGAAACTCTGCACACACTGACCAATCTCCGCCGCCATGTTCTCAGCTGTTCACTCGCTCCCGCATGCAGCGAACGCCTTCCCATAATTCTCCTCGTTCCCAAAATGTGATGCGACCTCCGTTTACATGCGTTGAATGAATGCGCTTTTGCCCTCTCGATCCCCTTCCATCTAGCGACTTGAATGCGACGCGCTTCCCGAGCGGATTATGCCCTTTACATGACCGCATTGAATACGACGACTGGATTCGATGCGGATGAGGTGCATCCATGTAAACACGCTGTAACGTGAAATATAATTATTTGTTTTCGTTATGCTTGAGCTGTTTATATGACGTCGATGCCGTTTGTTTAGTCAAAACTGAGCCTCTGACGCCAGCGTCACGAATATTTTATTGACTTCGCGCGGGCACCCGCAAGAAGGCGCGGCTCCCATTTTATTACGCCGAACGTTTAATAAACAAACCGGTAACAGCCACATGAGATTACGGTTCCGTTCCAGTTCGGGTACAATATCAAATGTGGGGTTTCGGTTAGACTTTTCTTCCGATTCTCTTTAAAATAATGGTTTTACTCCGGTTTTTGGTTGAAAGGTACCTGGTTGAAAGGTACGTGCTATAATCACGCATGATTTCAACAGCCGCCGTGTCGCGTTTCTAGGCGCGAGAAATGACATCTTCTCCGTCCACTACTATTCAGTTTTGACTGCTTCACTAAGAGCACGCCATTTTCATCCTCGAAGAAGCATATTGAAGTGAGACAATCAAGCCGTCAGTAACCTCCAGCGTAATCATGCTGTTTCGAGAGCCACTTATCATGCGCTGGAAAATAGCGTCATCACCCCGTAAGCCCTATAGATTGAAAACCGACACAGCTCGCATCAGTAGAGTGGAATGGGGAATGAAATGGCTGCAGCGGTGGGGGAATCGATGCATTTTGCTCCTTAATGGAGTTGGAATAGAATGGGTTCACTCCATTTCAGCCAAAAGGCATCGAATTTCATTCCCGTTCAATAACCTCCAGCGCTAACTGCCATTCCACTCGCATTCCATTCAGGGGTCGCGAAAGTACAGCTAGGGTGCGGAAAGATTGCGGAATCTTTTCAACTCTGGAGTGGCAACTTCTCAACCCCGACTCCCATATACAAGGTGCATGACCCTGCCGTTCCTTTGTCTTGCTGTTCGTTTTACTTTTAATTTCTGTTTCGCAGCCGCCCCGTTTAGCGTTTGACTACAACTGCATTTCTCTTATATTAGGTTTCAAACCGATGTGAAAAATCAAATATTTTTAATAAAAACTGAATAAAATAGATTTACTTGATTTAATTCAGGGTTCGAATATTAATATCAAATTGAATTGATTTCAAATTGAACGTATTTTATTTTAATGGACTTTCTTTGATTTAAATAATATTTATTTGTTTTAAACGTGTTTTTTATTTAAATCAGTTTCGGGACTTAAATCACTTTATTTAATGAATATACTAAAGTTTTAACGAAGTTCTTTTTTTTTTTTTTAGTATGTTAGATTATTTTTTAATCCTCTCGATCACTGGAAACAACAAAAAAAATTACATGTAAATTTAGTTAGATCTTATGCACGTACGCAAACTAGTATCTAACCAACGAACAACTGGAAGGGAGAACAGAAATTACGGTCAGTGAGCAGGCAAGCTGGACTTGGGTTAAAACTTAAAATCGTCCTGGTGGAAAAGAAGTTTAGTGATCTGACCTGCTCAGAAGACCCCAGTTCTTGTTCGTGTTCAACCTGACATTTTTCTCGCTCGATGATTATCTTTTTTAAATACATAACAAAGGCGCGTTGAAACCATAAGAGGGTACACAGGCGGTAAATGAAAAAAATAATCTTCGATATTACTGTTTGCGTGAAAGGTTTAATTTCAATTATCAAAGTAAAACCTGTGCACTTTAAATCAATAATTAAATCAAGGTTTAAATAGTTTCGACACCCTGGCGGAAACAAAAGCGGACGGTGATGTTTATATTCGGCGTGTGGAAAGTATGCGAGGCTTACCTGGATTCGACTGACCATACTCTGGTAAAAGCAAACATGTGTAAACACAACAACAAATAAAGAGTGAAAAATCATCACGTTTTTTTTTATTTATTTATTCGTTATCGCTTAAAAAAGGGGCAATTATCGCGTCCATACTGAAGTTCCTTGATACCTCTTTTATCAGTAACGACAACCAATACAAATGACAAAGGACATTCCGCTGGAACAATATGGCGGCATTCAGTTCAAACCTCTGCTGCGCGCCGCCATTCGCTTTAATACCTGCGAAGTCACGCAGTCGGCGCTTCAAAGGAGTTCGCTACTTGTTAAGTTCTTATCTAGAGACTTTAGTCCATACTATACTTCGTTTCACCCTGGCCATGTTCCAAAATTTACTCGATCTTACTCCAGGGTAAGGGTTTTGTACCCTCGGCGTTCTAAAACCTAACCGCGTCCAGCGTTTTTCAATCTGTGCTGTCACGTGATACGATCTGCAGGTGTAACTCAGATCTATTTGGGTAAGATTTGGAACACAACCCCTGAGTGCTGACGCGGGCGAAACGCGTCCATACTATCCGCGTTTCACCTGTAACTGACGAGGCCAACCAGACATCGTCAGAATAGCCCCCTCGTGGTGATCGTCGTGTTTCTGGACGTGTTCTATGAACGCAGGATCAACAGTAAACAGAAAAGGCCTAGCGACTTTCACTTTTGAACGCCCCTTGATTGCTCTGGAGCTGAAACAAAGTATAGAGCGTGGGAATTTTTGAACCTCTTATTATCGCTCATTAGCCAATTAAATTGCCGTATCATCCAATAAATGTGCGAAGAAGAAATTACCGAGCAAGAAGCGTAAGCATTAAAGACCACACCTTACGTTTCTTTACGTTGTCGGTGACTATTTCTTTTTTTTCTTTTTTTTTTTAACGCGGCAACCGCTGACAGCTGTTGACGCCGGCAGTTACTCAGGCCGATGCTCGCGTTGCTTAACAAAGTAACCCACCGTACATGCATGAGGTCGATTTACCTGGGGAAAAAGATACGTTAGTCGTCTTAGAGTTATCTATAAGCACGTCTTGCCACGATTCTAAACTCTAATCGATATTTCATTGCACGAACAACCACATTGAACAACTTGTCTTGATCCCAATGTCACTTTGCATGTCTCCAATGTTGATTCCCAACTAGCGCTAAATCGTATTAACCTGAATTCTTTTTATATCTTTATTTGCAGGCCAGATGACACTGGGCCATTGTTTATAACAAAGGTGGTTAAGGAAGAAGGAACTGAAGTTGCAAAAAAGCTTAGTAAGGTTATTCTTCCCAGAGACTTTCCGGTGTTTGAGGCATATTCCGGATACATCACAGTGGATGAGACCTACGACAGCAATATGTTTTTCTTCCTTGTCAAGGCAAAGGTAAAGACGCAGTTGTCCTTTCAAAAAAAAAAAAAATATATATATATATATATCGCTCTTTCTCTAGTACGGACCCATAAAAATGTTATTATTTCTAACTATAGATGTTTGAAAGTAGAGTTTTTATTCTAATATGTGCTGAGGTTATTCCCAGGAATTAGCAACTTGCTTAGACGGCTTAAACACGAACCCGATTGCTGACTGACCTTTTCTATTGTCTTACCGAGACGTCGAGTCTGAAACGGCGTTTACGAGTAGGTCGGTGCCTGAGAGAAGGACACAGTAGAATCTAGTATGACAATAAACTGTCCTTCTGCGATTATGATGAAGTGCAATAAACGAAATATTTTAGAAACAAAAACTGAAGGTCGGTTATGGCGGCGCCCATGCACAGCTGCTTAAAGGGATCGGTGGCCGAGTGTGGCTAGCGCACCGCAGCTCTGAGCACGTCGAGCGAGAGCCCGAGCTTCAAAACCCAGAGATCCCGGGCACATTCAAAACTTGTCAAAACCACTTAGAAGATAAGGCCTGAGCCTTCCCTCCCCTACGTCATCACTAGTGGTATAGGCAGTGCCGTCTAGCCTGCGTGAGCATCGCCGCCAGAGCGTCGTGCAGCGTCTCGCAACGATCACGACGATGGCACGTGGCGTCGCCAAGACGAACGCGTCTGTCGCTTTCCGGGGGACTCTCGTCGACTTTCGGTGCGTTTTTTGCTTACCGGGGCGGATCGTGGAGCCACTAGCAATGACGTCATCCGGAGGACTAGCCTTGTGAGTCGTGTTAGCTCTGTCCCCCACCCCTCCCTGCCCGTTTCGATGTCAATGCGCATCGTACCGGTATATATACCGGTACGATGCGCATATGTGTTATTAAGGCGTAGTACACGTTAAAGACCCCAGTAAGGCAGTCGTAGTTTTGCTTCACTTTTACAACGTTTCGGTTGGGTTAAACTGTATCCTGGCCAAATTAGTAAATGTTCGTAAGGCCAGAGTTTGTTATCGAATTAGAAAATTAAATCTCGTAATTTAACTTAGTTTATAGACACAAGGAAAACATAATCGTAACAACGAGCTTTGAGAACCTCTTAATTATGTTAAGCAATATCTGGCCAAATTATGTAAACCCATGGGGCTTTCTACCCACCTTTAGGTTTTTTTTTAAATATAGCCGCTGTCGCCGCCGTGTAGGTCAACTGATCCCTCGAAGGCAAAGCTGCGTATAAACACACTAATATTCTCATTATTTTCCAAATTGGGTTTACTGCTGTCTTGAGGGATCGAGCGGTGGATGACAGTGTTTTTCCTCGCCATCTTCAGTTTGTGTATTCAAACTGAAGGAAACATTATTTAATTAATTAATTAGCTTGTTGAACTATATACTGATTCACTCATTCAATCATGCAATGATAAATAAAGCGATGTATTAATAGATTAATTGGTATATTGATTGATTGATTGATTGATTCCGTTACGTAATACCAATATTCTGTATTATCTTAGCCGGATGACCCCAATAAACCACTTACCATCTGGATGGAGGGAGGCCCTGGGTTCTCCGGACTGCTCGGAATGTTCACCAAAAATGGACCCGTGGGCATCACTAAGGATGGCGTCATCTGCGCCCGGTTAGACGCCCTGACAGAGAACACAGATGTGGTCTACCTGGACGCTCCCGTGGGAGGAGGGTTCAGCTTCACCAAGAACATGACGCATGGATTCTCTAAGGACCTCACCGGCACGAGCAAGGACATCTCAGAGTTTCTCAAGCAGTTCCTGAACGTGTTCTCTGAGTACAAGACCAGAGACTTGTACGTCGGCGGAGAATCCTACGGAGGTGAGGAAACGTGCTACGTCTTTTTTTTTTTATGTGTGTAATGTATTACTCGCTGTACATTATTAGCTCCACTAATTCAACACTCAAATACAAAAAGGATTTCTTTTTCTAAGTTTCTACATAGTTCACATATGCCGCAACATAAACTTTCTCTGAACAGCAAACAGAATTTGTATTGCAATCAGAGTGTCGAACCGGAACCGAACCGAACCGAAAACCGGAACAGAACCGTTATTTTTAGCCGAACCGGAACTGAACCGAACCGAAATCTTCGCCGCCATCTTAGAACTGAACCGGAACTGAACCGAAAAAAAATATAACGGTAACCGGTTCAAAACGGTTCACGGTAATTTTTTTTATGTTACAAAGTGAGCGTTTGAGACGTAAAAATTGGCAGCTGGCATTGCTATGTAGTGATCAAATTGTCATATACCAAATTGCAATGTATAAGAAATTGCGGGTTTTCGTGGCGCTTTTGTATTGGCACTACGATTAATCGTGTGTCACGTGGTCACGTGACGTCGTGGTGTCAAGACATGCTGTCAAATATTGTCACGTCACGTGGTTCCGTGGCGTGGTCGCGTGACTCACCGCGTCAAGTCGACTTAAATTCAGAACGTCAATTTCCCCCTCTCTTCTCCAACGTTTCGTATGCTGTTTCCTCCCCGGCCTTCTTTTCCCTCGCCCTACCTTCTTGAGTTGCAAAAAAATACAGATTTATTAGCGTTGTTGACACCGTGATGTCACATGGCATCACGACTTCTCACCGCGAGTCATACGACACCGTGACGTACTCGGTTCTCATGAGCCCGAGCCGAGTGCTCGGGTTTTTGACAATCAGCATCGCCAAACATTCGTGTTGACTCGTGTTCAATCAAAGATAAGAATAGCCGAACTCTAATAATGCCTGAAGCTCAACCTATGCTTTATTCTTTGCCGACCCCAGCGCATGACTATGATGAACACTGGGGGTATGCAATTAGCGTCAGATCACATCGCCGCTTGTTCCAACTGCGAGGTGAGGAAGGGAAAGCTGTTCTTTTCTTTATTTTTTCTGCATCCGACATTGAGCAGAGAAGGAAACTAATGGGTGTTTCTGCAAGCTATCAACGTCGGAGATTACCTCTTAGCGGCATTTACTGAAAGTGCAAAAATTGTTGCATGAATCATTTTACATGTACACATCATTGAGCCACCCAAACATGTTTTCGTGTTTGCTGAACAGTCTCAGAAAGTTGTCCCCGAGAATAGAAGGATTGAAAGGACTAAATATGACTTATTAATCTGACAATAAATATAACTATAAGTGTGTTCGGCAGGGATACCTGAAAAGAAAGATTCTAGTGTCCTTTGAGCGACAGCCGAACGTCGGCACTCGCTCAAATTCTCGCAGTTTTGTTTAAACTTCGCAGTTTTTGGGTGCAAAATAAAAGAAATGGAGAATTACTGCAAACAAACGACAGAAATATAATTGTCGAATTGGCACCCCCAAACAAAGGAGGGAGTCTCTAAGAACTAAAAAGTGTTCTGTGGAAGAGCACCGTCAAATTAAAAAAAAAAGGGGGTGGGGGGGGGGGGGGGGGGTTAAACCTACTGTGTTGTACAGGTTCCTCTGCTCCGCATCTTCGGTACTGAGCAGGCAGCGTGATCCTGCAAACCCACTTCGTTTGCGAAATCACTCCTGCCAGAAAGCGCGTTTTCGGGGTACCAGACGCTCGCACCGTTCCTCACGACGCCGCGCCAATCAAGAACAATTTTAATTTCTGAATACATGGGTTGCGCTGAGCGCGAACCTTTTGCAGCGTGCATTTTGCACCTCGGGATTTGATTTTCTCAGCAAAATGCATACCATGTTAAACACTCCAGTTTTCTGTTGAAATGTGATGTTCTCAACGCAATACTCCGTTTCATTTTAAGTGTATAAGTATATCAGAAGCTAAAAAAGCGAGCTCCGGCCTTTCAGCGTCCAAGCACGCGCGTTCCTGCAGTGCAAGTGCTCGGGACCAAAGGCTCGCGCTTATAGCCTAGGCTGCATCTGTACTTGAAGAGGCCATGCAAAGCGTTTTTGGCCATTTTTTTTTTTTTAATTTGCATTGCTTTCGCTCGAGTTAGTGACTGAGACCCTATCAACACAATAAATATTAAAAAAACAATAAATCTAACGTATTTGAAACATAATAGGTTAAAGACATTCAGAATTTCGAGCAAATTTTCTTTTGTTGGTGATCCCCTTGGTCTGAACCAAGAGAGAACCGAAACGACAAGAGTGTGCCACAACCATACGCGCTCTTCCTAAGCGTTGAAAATTAACATCCAGTTATGAATATGTGAGCGCCAAACCAATTTACGGTTGTCCCAAGCAAATATTTGAATGAGAGTCACGTGCTTGAAAGGATAAGAAGGGGTCCCTTGCGCCTATTCAGCCAGTCCTACCTCTAGAATTCTACGTCATCATTATCCGACGTTATACCAATGTCGGCACTGAACGTTCGTGTTTGACACTGATAGGCACGCCGTTCGAAACAGCATTTGGTTTTCTTCGTCCTTTTGCAATGCCCATTTAAGCTGAAACAAGGTATAGCAAAAGGGGATGTCCAAATTGTAAAGTTGTGCAGCCTAATAAAATGTTTGAGCGCGCATGACTGATAAAGCACGGAGTTGTAGAATTAGGCCCCAAAACAAGTGCACGACTATTTGCACGTGGAGAGAAGCAGCTCCTTTTCTATCTACGGTGTGTCGTTTGCTTCACCCACTTCTTCAAGTGCCCTAGTCCGTTGACACACGCCTAGGGTTAAGCGGCTTTTGACCTATTGAGCCCGACCTATTGAAAGGTTGGGTCACTAAATGTTTACGACTTGGTTTTTGAAGGTCTGTATTTCTCAACTTTTTGACCCAACCAGACGGAGTTCCGTGAAACGGAACTCCGTACCCTAAGACATTCCAAACCATGCCAAGGTATCCCGGGCTGCGAAGTTGTTTATAATTTAATCTAAAGATATTGGTTTGGAAAAAAGTTCTTATCCGTGGATGCAGTTCAGCTGTTACTGAAGCTTTTGACTAAAATTTCACTATTTATTGTGCGCCCTAAACAAGATACTTGGTGCGAGAATTCTGTTAATAAATTTGAATATATTTTTTTGCTATTAAGTCTTATTGCAACTGCCTAGGTTAATTACACACTCCTAGCTAGTTTCATAGTAGACGTAGAATATTGTCGTGGAGGAAGAAGGCTGGACCAGCGTAAATCTGAAAATGGAGGTTTAATAGGCGAACTTGTGCCAGAAACGAAAAAAAAGAACAAACATCGAAAAAGCAGCAGCGAACGCCGACGGCGGCAGCAGCGAGTGGCGGTGCGTCGGCGTGACAGCTGGTTAGCGCGAAAGTGAATGAGCCGACAATATCGCGCTTAGCTCTTTATCTAGATACACTCGATCTCTCGAACTTTCCACCCAGAAAGTTCCGCAGTTAGCTATGGCGAGACTGGGCGAGACTGACTAGGCAAGGTCATTCTGTCCTCATCATGTACACTCGGGGCAAGAATAAAGACGAATCTTCTAGATGTGCGGAAAAGTGTTCCTTGTCGGTCACGCACGGGACAATGTAGTATATCGGCTTCATTAAGCAGGCGTGACCATCTCGCAATGTGTAATATTTTGAGCGTCATAATCAATCAAGGCAATTCGCTACTCATGAGCAATAAAATAAGCTCACGATGATGATGATGATAACAAAAATGTCATCTTGGGCATCGCCACCTCGCAATATTGCCGCGCGCGCACTTGACCAAGCAGGCTGCGCGCTCGTTGCCTAACGGTTATCCCGCTTGCCTTTGACGCAAAAAGCCAGGGTTCGATGCCTGGCCGCGGGTACACATTTTTGTTGACTGTGTAATGCGATATCCTAGGTCAGAATGTTCTACTTGTCGAATCTTCTAGGTCGATTGTTCCAGAAGCCCACGCGTGTACAAAAGGGGCTCCACGTGGAGAGCCGGAGTCAGTCTCGCTCCAACGTTCGATTTTGCTATTACGCCGACTTCGACGCCCGCGACGCTCTGTTGTTATCTTCTATGCCCTTTTCGTTTTGGGCCCAAGTTCGCCCCATTAAACGCTTATTTATTCCGGCTTTTTTATCGTTGTTTTGGCCACCGCCCGTGACAATATAACCACCGTTAAGAATGATTCGCAGCTGCAAGTTTTCTACATCGTGATGAGTATGTTAGTACAACCACACACCCCGTACATGCGCCGTCAGAAACTCCTCTACTACGAACACTTCGACGACTTTTATAGTACGCGTTCCCGCAAACCACGCGAAGTTATTCCATATGGTAATTTCTGGAAAATTGCGGTTGCACCCAATAATAAAGAAAAAAACAGTTTATTCAGACTCAAGTCAAGTTATCTGAATGGTCAACTTATGACACTGCGGACATAGAGGAATCTAAAAGAATTGATAAAAATAAATTAAGAATGTTATAACCATGCTACCCCCATCTGCCGCTGCTGCAAGATCTCAGATGGATTATAACCATAAATACTTTTAGTAAACACAAAATTATTTCTAAGATTAAAGCACCAAAGGTACCACCGAATATTCTAGTACATCTGCTACACATCGTTTTTAAAGGAAAAAGAAAATATCATGCAAGCGCATCTTTGTCTGGCTAATTGAATTGACCATGACGTGTGTTTTAGTCTATGTGCTTCGTAACCTAACTACATATTGTGACAACGATATTCAAGCCCCACTAATTGGCCTGGTCACATTTCCGTTGTTTCTCATTTTCTTTCGCAGGTAGACTTGCCGTTGGTTTTGCAAACTACATCTCTGAAAACGAAAATCGACCAAGCAGTGATGTGGCCACTAGATTCAACCTGAAAGGAGTCGTTGCGGGATCTCCGTTCCTTGGTCCACTGCTGGAAACCATTGACTCGTCAGAATTCCTCTTCTCCGTCGGAATGCTGAACACCACATCGAAAGTTTTGTTTCATCAAGCCTTTGAAAACCTCACAAAAGAGACTGACAGAAGAAAACAATTATTTACTTTTCTTCAGACAGTATTTCAGGATTACACTAAAAAGAATCCAACGCTTTTTCAGAGACTAACGGGCTACAATATTCATTCAAGTGTCCTTCACACCAGGATACCACAGGTGTTTGTAGAATATAAAAAGTATGTCAATAACTCAGACTTCAAAACTAGGATTCATGTTGGTTCTGATGCAGTTTTGAGAAAGCAGACGCTGAACGTCATTTTTAGCATGGGAATGGTTGACTTCTTCACAAATATAAATTCAATAGTGGAAAGTGTTTTTAACAAATTCAAGGTTTTAATATACGGCGGCCAGCTTGACACGATTTTTCCCGCGATTAACATGGATAAATTCTATAACAGTCTGACATGGGAAGGGTCGGAAGATTTCAAAAAGAAGAGAGTTACCTGGTACAGCGAGAATGACCCTGACTATTTGAACGGCTATGTAAGAAAGGGGGGTAATGTGGCGTACGTCCTTCTTGTTGGAGCTGGGCATGATCCTGGATTTGATGCGCCTAAGCCTACTCATACATTAATCGGCAAGTTTCTAAAACAACAAGAAATTTTGAAGTCAGTGAACACTGCTGATGCTTTATTAAAGGAAGATTGAAAATTGACGACCAAATCTTGGTGACGACTTGCAGCGTTGACGTGATTCCGCCTTTGCTTTTTATACGCGCTACTGCGCACGCTAGATTAAATTGGTTTTGTTTTTACCTCTAATATATATTTTAAAAGTCCTTATATCTGCACTATTTGTGCAGTAAGTATGAAAAACCCTCTGTTGCTGCTTGTTTTATTTTGACGCGATCTGTTTGCTATCACTAATTTATTGATTTAGGCAATGTACAAATTATTCTTTTTTGCAGTAAGCAACGGTTCTTGTTGGTCGTTGCAACATAAAAGATGGTATCTTTTTGTTGTTGTTGTTCTTCTTCTTGTTGTTGGCGTTGCTCTTGTTGTTTTCGCTTGAAGTGATCTTTCGCATTTGTTTCCTTGAGTTTAATTTTGCTTGAGCTTCAATATAAAATTTACAGTTAAAATGAATACGATATGCCACATCCCTCCTGCAAGTCATAATATTGCACTACTGATTGAGAATGCCTTTGCCTAAGTAGGTCTCTTGTGTAAAAAAAAGTCTGAGACTCTTTGAATATTGAACAAAACTGCTTGACTGCTTATAGGGTTGACAGCATAAAAACCTTTGTTAAAGAGTACCCCCAATAAGAAGTTCAAACGCTGCACCCGAAATTATGTTCATATATATATAAAAAGGGTGTTTTCAATATTGATGTTTTGTTTTTATATCATTTTACGTTTTTACTGAATATATCATTCATTGTTTGTTTTCTCTCCTCGGAAGTGGTGTTACATGCATTTCGTGACTGTGCCTTTAGCAACGGTACTGTTGTAAATTGTAGTGTGGCGCAGACTATTGGTTGTTGGCAGGCATTAAATAAACTTGCTAACTTCTATTTATCTAGTTGCAGGCGTTTTAAAAGCCTGTATAAGAGTTTATAAATTGTGTTCAACTATTTTTATTCTTAATAGACCCTTTCCGAAATTCAGTCTGGCCACTTTGATCACTACCATCATCTGTGGAACGGCATCTGTGCCATACCAATGGCGGCCTTCTAGTGACTGATAAAGGAAGGCGTTGAAGATGCTCCTAAGCGGATCTTGCGAGGCCTGTACATTCGGGGGGTCAGTACGACGCGACGTGCGAATGGAACACAAGAGCTACGTAAGAGTTTATTTCTAATAACTCAGATACAGTCAATCTGTGGGTGGCACACAATCGGCTTTAAAGATTTAAAAGTAAACATTTGACAGAGATCTGTCTGGTTGGGAGTAATTAATATTAAAAAATTCCAACACCAACCAAGCCCTTCTGTAGGGACCCTTAACGTTTCAAGGCCAATTTGGCCTCTTCTTCAGGGGCGACTACGGCTATGGCCGTTGAGGAGCAGTGTCCTTTTCTTTTTCTTCTACGGCGTGTGTCTGGTCTTCTTCTTCTACGGCTCTGCCTTTTTCAATAATGTGACGAAGCCCATTCACATAGGCGGATGGTAAAGCCCCTAGAGATCTGTTGATGTTCTGTGGCGTTGTTTGAATGTGCCATGATTCTAGGAACAGTCTTTTTCGAGGATTTGTCTCAACGTCAACGATGCATGCGTTGTCGAAGTCAATGCGATGGTCCTTGACGTCGCAGTGCTCAGCAACCGCGCTACGCTCGTGATCGAACTTGCGCACGTCGTTTTTATGTTGACGGATTCTCTCTCTAAAGTTCTTCGTTTCGCCGATGTATGAGGCCGCGCAAACCCCGCACGGAATCTTATATACAACGCCTTGGGCCCTTTCTTTACCAGGGCGATCTTTTGGGCGTGGCATGAGTCGTCCAAGGGTAGACACAGGTTTGTGCGCTAGTTGGATACCCTCTTTCGCAAGCACACGTGCCAGTGCCTCGCTTGTTCCGTTGATGTAGGGAACGCTGATGCGGGAGGTTGGGCGGAAATTCGCACTTAACTGTTGCTGCACGTGTCGTTGGTTTCGGCCTACACGGCGGGCAACACCAACCAAGCCCTACAGAAGGGCTTGGTTGGTGTTCGAATTTTTTAATATTCATCGGCTTTAAAGCACTTTGGTGTATAGAATTTTCTCGAGGCATCTGAGTGTGTTGGAGCTTTGATCTGAGTGCAGGTTCTTGGTCACCATCGAACTGAACGTGATCGAGAAAGAACTCACACTGGACAATTCCTCGCGTGCCGTTGACTTGCGAAAGTGGTGGTGCCGATGCAAGTTCATTTCCGCCATTGATATGGCAAAACCTAAATTGCTTTACAAACCACCAGATGGCACTGAATTTCGGAAAGGGTCTATTGTTCCTGCCAGCTCTTGTATACGACTTCATTTTTCCAGACTCGATAATTCGCGAATTTGGCGGAGTGTAAATTTCAGGAATACTTTGAGTACAAAATTTTTTCTATCAGGGTTAATAGGCTATGTATTAGTTATCATAGGGTCATACATTCGTGGGATCCTTTCTCCGCAATTTTTGTTTTTAATTGGCGAAATTCGCGAAACATAGGTCCCGTAAACATAAAGTGTTTGCAGTACCTGAATTCTGCAGTGATCGTACTTTAAGTATAACAAAATATACCTACGTATAAACAGATGTTGTACTAGAAACATATGTGTGTTTTGAATGTTTTGCGCGATATTTCACATATGATACAAACGCTCGCGGAAAAAAATTTAAGCCGCCGAAGGCACCTAACATTTCGTCGCTGCGTGTCTGAAACAAATTGGCTTATATAATGAAGATATCTATTACATTTAAGTCTTATTACTTGGAGTTATAAAGCTGGTTTACACATTTGCATTTGAGTGTGGCTGAGGTAGTTGCAACCGCGTGTACCCACTTTTGCACTGGCACACTGGCGCCACCTATGAGGTAGCCTTGGAACACCTCCGGCCTGCGTAAAACTAGACTGAAGGTTCTGCTGTATTTGCAATATCAAGTCTATGCACAATCTATGAAAAATGGTCACTTAACACTCTCAGGATTATTCCTAGCCCACGGTGACAAAATGACGCGTAAAAACGTTAGGAAATCTGCACAGATCAGAAGCGTTTTACTGCTTCGCGGTAGATGGCATCGATGTCTTTCATTTCGTAACCAGTCGCACGGCTTTGTAACGCAGTCGGTCTCACTCAAACGCAAATCTGTGAACCAGTCTTGAGGCGTGCAGAGAAACAATACCTTTTGTTAGTGGCTCCGCCGCAAGATTATCTAGGGCGAAGACGAGTGTAACATTTTACAGCGGAGCTGTTAAGGGCTAGTTTCCCCAGGATCGTGTCCGTCCTCAAATGACCTGATGACACAGAACTCTGGACAGCCAACGCCATCTATAAGCGGCGGCGGAAACCAGACAACCGACCTGCCTGTTGTATGGTAGCCGCCGTCGCTTACAGATGACGGCAACTTTTCAAGCCTTTCCACTCTGGCTTGCCGACATGAAGCCGGTCATTACTTCGTTCCCACCATAAAACAGCTTCGCTGGTCTTCCTTCTTCATCAAAGTGGAAAGGCTAAAAGATTTTTTTTTTTCGTACGCTGAGCCCTCTCCTTGCTGCGCTCTTCAATGTGCTTAACAAGAGAAATAAGCCAGAAACAGTATTTAATATGAAGAAATCAACACCTTTCACTGTCTCTACGACAATTATACTTAGCAGCAAATGTTCTGAACATTTGTGAAGTTCCGTGGTCAAACTGTTGGGCTTAGGTAAGTACAGAAAAGCGCGGCTACTCACATTATTAAAGACATCGTATGAGATCTAATACTTGAATTGTATTGCAATATGTGAGCCGTTAATCAAATAACTATAATTTTCTAATACAATTTAACTTTCGGTAATGTAATGGGTTGTTTTCTGGTTGTATAATTTCTTGGAAATCGCCAAGCACACATCCCACAAACCTGTTTTCTGAGTCGCTCAATTTTTGTTTTGTCTCAAGAGTACGCAACGATTTCTCGCAAAGTTTCGGGATGTTTCGATGTTCCGGAACTTAATTTTCAAGTACCCCTGACTATGTTTCGTAAGTTTGAGTGAGGTTGGCGCGTTTATCTTAAACATGGAGATGAATGGGGAAAGCTGCCGGGGACGCGGCCCATTTTCTCAGTAAACATTTTTAGGCAAATAGCTTATAACCTTTGAATCTATACTGGATTAGTTCTTAAAATTTGGCATGTAATCCGGACGTCTACGGTTACAAATGGGCCGAGCCCGAGAGCTCGGCAGTACGTAGTCTTTTTTTTTTTTTTTTGTATTTTTCTTAAGAAAATCTTGTGCGTCCTTCTTGCTTGTCGCAGAGAGTCGTGCACCACCCTTTGAGAGTAAAGAGGTGGGTCGCTGCGTTCTCTTTCTTGTTAACAGTCTTCTTCGGTGAAAAAAACAAAAAAAAAAATCTTTGATTTCGTCTTACGTTATAGAAAAATCATAGCCTTTTCCGTCAAAAGCGCTTGTAAATAGATACCCATTTTGCAATATAGTAATGCTTCCGGGGGGCGGGGGAAGGGAGAGGGTAGGGGGGAGTGAGGGTGCGAGCTTCGTAAAAGCGAAGGAATCAATAAGACATTGTCGCTGAAGGTTTTTGCCGGGATGCAATCCAACACTAGTTCGTACTAAGTCCGAGGATGGTGATGATAAACACGTACAAAGGAGAGCACCATCCATTATCCCTGGGTCGATGGAACCAAGCCGGAACAAGTTGGGGAAAAACTGGGAAGTTCGGACGTTGCTAATGGTCCGGAATAGGACTCGGGTGCAAGAAAGGTGGTAACCTGAGATTTGGCTACTTCCCCTGAGATTTCTCCTCCCTCTCTTTCTCTATTTTCCTCTTCTTCTCTGTCTTTCTGCCTGTTTGTCTGTCTGTGTGTCTGTCCACCCACCTGCCTACCTACCCATCCACATGTATCTCTGTCTGTGTGTTCTGCAGGTATGTCTTTGTCTGTCTGTGTTTCTGTCCTTTTGTCTGTTTCTATCTGTCTCTCTTTGCCTGTCCGTGGGTCGGATCTAACTATCTGTCTAATCTACCATGTATTCGCGA